TGGAGGCCCTGGAGACCCTCAAGTGAGTGGCGCCGCCCCGCCCGCGGATTTCAGGCGGCGTTTCGTTTCTCTCCCGTCACGTCCGTGCGGTCAGGCAGCCATGCGCGCGTGCGCATTCCTTGTCCTTCTTTCAGCGACTCGTTCGCTCAGTCACCCCTTCGCTCGCTCTTCCGCCATTCGGTCGTTCATTCGTTTGCTCCTTCAGTCATCCCTTCGCTCGTTGTCATTTACTCATTCACTCATTTACCCACTTAATCAGTCGTTCATCCCCCTTTCCATTACCCATTGATCCACACATTCAGTCATTCATTTCCCGGCCAATTATGTGTTCATTCACTCAGCGAATCACTTCTTCATTTAGTCGTCTAACCATTCATTCAACCATTTCTCTATTTAAACCTCCATTCATCCGTTCACTTATTAATGTAATCAGTTTACAGTCATGACAATGTTTACAGTCATGAAAACACGATGTTTAGTGTCAGAAAATTACACTGGGGTTGAAAAAGAAGAGAGAGGTATTTACCAACAAAACGTTATTCTCAAAATGGTAAGGTTCTTTTTTGAGTTGGAGTCTCACTCTGTCGCCCAGACTGGAGTGCAGTGGCCACTCCTGGCCACCTCAGCCTCAACCTGCTGGGCTCCGGCAATCCTTCTGCTCAGCCTTCCAAGTAGTTGGAACTACAGGCATGTGCTACCACGCCCGGCTAATTTTAAAAATTTATTGTAGAGATGAGGTCTCGCCAAGTTGCCCAGGTGGGTCTTGAACCCGCGGGCTCAGGCAATCCACTCACCTCAGCCTCCCAAAGGCGCGGGATTACAGGCTGAGCCACCGATCCCGACTTGGTCAAGTTTTTTCAACTGTTCTGGGCTTTGGGAAGTTGGAGACAGATAAGACACAGAAAGATCAACATGATTTTTTACTGAACTAGAGGGTGTTGAGGTCCTCCCACCCGCCACGCCCCTCATAACCGAGGCTGGGGTGGCCGTGGAATTCACCAGAATGCGCTTAGAGGTTCCTTGTCGCAGGACAGAGACTTGGCCAGTGTTTCCAGCATTCTGGGTGACACAAGGGGCTAGATCTCCCATCCGTTGTCCTCCCATCCTCCCTTCTTCCCCTTGCCCCACTTAAGGATTTGTTGAGCACCTACTATGTACCTGCGTGCTCTGGGCACAGGGATGCAGTAATGAACAAAACAGATACGGCCCCGCTCCTTGTGGAGCGCACAAATTGGGGGAAGAGACAGCCATGAAACATAATAACATTGGCCGGGCACGGTGGCTTGTAATCCCAGCACTTTGAGAAGCTGAGGCAGGAGGATCACCTGAGCCCAGGAGTTCAAGGCTGCAGTAAGCTGTGATCATGAAACTGCACTCCAGCCTGGGTGACAGAGTGAGATAATGATGTAAAAAATAAATAAATAAATAAAAAATAATAATTACAGTGCTGGAAGGTGGTCCAGAGAGATGCCATAAAATGGTTGGGGGAGCAAGAGCCCTCTCTTTCTTTCCTCCTCCTCTCTTCTCCTCCTCCCTCTCTTTCTTCTCTCTGTCTGTCTCTCTCTGTCTCTCTCTTACTCTCCTCTCTCCCTGTCTCTCTCTCTGTCTGTCTCTCTCTCCTTCTCTCTGTCTCTGTTTCTCTCTCTGTGTGTGTGTCTCTCTCTGTCTCACTCTCCTGTCTCTCTGTTTCTCTCTCTCACTGTCCTCTTTCTGTCTCTGCCTGTCTCTCCACTGTCTCTGTCTATCTATGTCTCTCTCTCTCTCCTCTCTGCCGCTCTCTCTTTTTTTGTCTCTTTCTCTCCATCTCTCTGTGTGTCTCTCTTTGTCTCTCTCTCACTCTCTTTTCTTTCTGTCTCTCCTCTCTCTCTCTCCCTCCCTCCCTCCCTCCCTCTCTCTTTCTTTCTCTCTGTCTCTCTCTGCCACATCCTCGCCCGCACGCTCCAGGTGACCACAGGACATAACAGTAACCTATTATCTGTTGTGAGTTAGCATAGGCCTGGCGACAGCGCCATTCACAGGTCACCCCGGACCCTTCCCGGGCTGAGGTCCGGGGCATGTGCGGGTCCAGCTCTGAGGCCCCCCTGCCCCCCACTGTGCCTCTGCAGCCTGTCCCAGAACAGCATCACTGACGTGGGCGCCCGCACGCTGGCCGAGGCCCTGCCTTCACTCGCCGCGTCCCTCCTCAGGCTGAGGTGAGTGGGGTGACCCGGTCCCGGCGACTGGGGGAGGGCTGGGCGCCCCTCGCGCTGGGGCCCCAGAAGCAGTCACCGGGGCCCTGAGCAGGAGGGTCAGCAGGACTCAGGGAAGGAACTCGAGCAAGTCGTGTTCTCATTTCCAGCCCCTGTTTCCCCATCAGGCAAATGGAAGCCATCCCCATGGCCCATGTAGAGTAACGGCGCAGTGCACTCTGGTGCCCTCTTCCCCCAGGGGATGGCGGGGCCAAGCTTTTTCTGGAGTCCAAGGGTGGTGGCTTCTGGAAGGCTGACCGCACGCAGCCCCTGGCTGACTTTGTCCCACGCATGCTGGCCGGTGCTCACACTGCCACCTCCTGGTAGGTCCTGGCATAGCGCCTTTTGCCTTGGCGTGGCTTCCAGCCGGCCCTTGGCTGGAGATGGGCCTGAGCTTGGACGAGAGCCCTTTGTTCAACTCAGCGTTACTAGCTCTCCTCCCCCTCCCACTTCACTTGCCAAGGACAGCCAGGGTCAGATTTCCAGGAAAGATGGCATCAATTCATGTGTCCTTCCAGCCGGGGCCACCATGTGCAGCCGCCCAGGTTGTGTACTGTAAAATTTGTAATCTGTACCCCCACCCCAGAATTGTGCAAGGTATCCAGTATACTCTAACTTGAACCATGGGCCACAACCTATGCTAGGAACCAGAACTACAACCATGAACAAGACAGAGGTGGTTGTTGCTTCCAAGTTTTTTTTGCATAATTAGAAGTAAGCACATACATAAGCAAAATATTTTGAAACAGTGATTCATGCTGGGAAGGAAACTAACACAGGCCAGGAGACCCCAGTAGGGGCATGAAATTCCCCAGGTCGGCTGGGCATGGTGGCTCAAGCCTGTAATTCCAGCAATTTGGAAGTCCGAGGTGAGAGAAGAAATTCCCCAGGGAAATCTGAGGCCCTCTGGGGTGGTGATTCTGCTGTGGAGAGCTCAAGGGAAAAGCACTCTTTGGAAGGGAACCTGGGTGCAAAGGCCCTGTGGGGGGAAAAGAGGTTGGGATTTTGAAGCCAGAAGGGCCACTGTGCCTGACTCGTGCATGGGACAAGACAAAGGTGGGAGATGGGGGGGGAGCATCGGCAGAGTCCAGATCACACAGGCAGGCCCTTGCAGGTCAGGAAGACATTTGTAGTTTTCTCCGTGTGAATGGAGAAGGTGACACCAGATCTCATTTACACTTTGGAAACATCAAATGTTATGGAACCTAAAATGCCAGACTGGCCTATGGGAGGTGGCGTACGCCTTGCAATCCTAGCACTTTGGAGGCCGAGGCAGGAGGATCGTTTGAGGCCAGGAGTTTGTGACCAGCCTGGGCAACATAGCGAGACCTCATCTCTCCAAAAAAAATAAATAAGCCAGGCTTAGTGGCATATGCCTGAAGTCCCAGCTACTTGGGAGGCTGAAGCAGAAGGATTGTTTGAGCCCAAGGGTTCGAGTGAGCTATCATCAGAACAGTACACTTCAGCCTGCTCCACCTCTGAAAAAAAGGAAAAAGAAAAGATACCACTTTGTAAGACCCCATTAAGAGGACAAAATGCTGCTAATTAAAGAATGACACTGCTTTGGGTATAAGACAAGGCCTGATCTCAGTGATATTCACATCAGGACATGTGTCTTGGTATCAGGGAAATGTAGTCAGGTCGCTCTGCCTGGAGGTGGATGAAGGGTCTCTTGGATTCAAAGCCCACCCCAGGAAGAGTTCCCAAACCCCAGTTGCTTTCTGCATGGGTACCTGCCAGCCTGTGGTACCAGGGGGCACTGGAGTTTATTAAGCTTGAATCCACTTAGCAGCAGTGTAGACGCGCTGCTCTTGTACACAGCCCCTGGGTGCAGTTCCAAGGTGGAGTCATGGCCGAGTCACAGCCCGAGATCCGAGGCATGGTGCTACTCAGCCTGCTGATGAGCCACTCGGTGACTAGTGTGCGGCGTGAGTTGCCACTGGTGACGCCCGTCGTGCTGTGTTCACTGCTATTTGTGGTGGCTGGGAATGCGCCACAGAAACCCAAGTGGGTCCCGAGGCTCTGGGTTTTTCTCTTCCACCCCTCATGCTGTCACACCTTCTCCGGTAACCCATGTGTGTGACCCTCGACGGTGCTCTTGGGAGGAAGCTCTGCCCACAGTGAGCGTTCAGCTCCTTCAGGTGCTGGTGCATCCCGGGAGCCTTACCAGCATTACTCATGTGCTTCTCGCCACGATTCGTCGAGCGTGCCCATCTCACAGATGAGCAAACTGAGTCTCAGCAGAGTTGGGTAACTGGCTCAAGATCACATGGGCACAAAAGGCACAGTCGGGGTGAACTTGGGAGGTTGTCCCCCTGGTTCCACACTCTCAGCCGGGAAATGACCCCTTTAGCTCTGCTGCATCCCTGGACTCACTGGGTGACCACAGAGAATCTCCTCTGTAAAACAAGGACGCAATCTCAGCTGAGTGTGGCTCCCACGGGGCCCTGAGCCCCAGCACCCCAGTCTGGCCTCTGTTTCTGGCAGCTTGTACAACAACTGCATCTGTGACGGGGGAGCCGGGAGCCTGGCCCGCGTGCTTCCAGACATGGTGTCCTTGCGGGTGCTAGAGTGAGTGTGGGGGCTGGGCAGTGGGTGGCAGGGGACCTTGGGGGTCTCCCGGTGACCTCGTGAGAGGGCTGAGGGTGGCGGTGGCCTTGGGTGGGACCCAGGACAGGTTTCTCTCCCCAGCGTCCAGTACAACAAGTTCACGGCTGCCGGGGCCCAGCAGCTTGCTGCCAGCCTGAAGAAGTGCCCCCACGTGGAGACACTGGCGTGAGTCTCGGCAGCCCCAGTGGGTGGAGGGCCACTCGCCCAGGTGTGGGACCCCGGAGTGTGAATCCTGCTCCTCATGCGACCTTGGGCTGCAGGCACCACACCCTTCTGGCCTCAAATCCTGCATCTGTAAAATGGGATGAGAGGCTTCCTGAGGTTTAAGCTGGTCAAGACATGCAAAGCTCTGGCAAAGAAAAATGTTCCATAAATGCTATAGCAGGGTGAACCTTATGGCATTGCCTACACTCAACTATTTTTGACCTGTAAAATAGCGATTTTATGCAGTTCAAACTTATCTTTTACTAAGTCACCAAGATGTCCAATACCGGTACTTCATACATACTCGAAGCACTTTCTTTTTTCATAATCACTTGTATCTTCTAGATGGATAGGGTGGGTTTTATGAGACCCATTTTACAGAGGAGGAGAATGAAGCACGAATAGTTAACTAATCTTTCTGAGGTCACACAGCAAGTCAGCAGCAGAACCAGAAAGGGGCCTCGGGACTCTTAGGTCTCTGCCTCCCCCTTGACCCCACACGGGTCTGTATCCCGCCAGGTGGAAAGTCCCCCAGGCTCTAGGCTGGGTGGGAGGAGGAATTTGGGGCCAGCCTTCGTCGGGGGCTGCCCTCTGTCCTCTGAGCTGGGCTCTGTGTCCCTCGCCCCCTCACAGAATGTGGACGCCCACCATCCCTTTTGGGGTTCAGGAACACTTGCAGCAACTAGACTCGCGGATCAGCCTGAGATGATCCCAGCAGTGCCCTGGACGAGGTGACCGGGGGGCTCAGGAGAGTCCGTGTCTTTGTGAAGGCCGTGTCTACAGAAGGCGGGTGGGAACCTCAGGCGGGGCTAGGTGACCACCGCTGGACACTGCTTCATCTGGGACCTCCTTAGGGGCTGGCGTCCTCGGTCCCTGAGGTCCTCCCTGTGGTCAGGCTTGGAGAGCAGGGGAAGGACCGGGCGGTCGGCCATCTACACCGGAAGCCTCGCTCTGAGAAAGCTGCCGCTGGGGCCTTCCAGGCCTGACTCGCTGCACTTTCAGCTTACTGGTTGCCCGGAGGCCCCTGGATTTGTCCTCATAGGAACTTGCCCTACAAGCTTCCTGCCTCTCACTCTGAAGATGGCTGTCCCCTCATCCCTGCGTTCCCCCGCTGGGCTGCAGCTGCCTCTCCTGTCCCTCCTCCATTCCCGCCCCTCCTATCCCTCTCAACCCCTGCCCACCAGTCTTGACAACGCCCTCCCCAGTTGTCCAGGCTACCCCTCCTAGAACGTCCTGGTTTCCTTCTCCCTCCCCTGCAGCATGTTCTCTGGGGACACTGACCGCACCGGACCTTGACCTCAGCACTCGTGGACGTAGTTCTTCTCAAGGCTGGATCCCATGAGCCTCATCGTCTGGACACCCAGCCCCTGCCAGGTCAGGGTTGGCCCCTTCTCGCTCTGCAGACAGATACAGGCCTGGCTCCAGGCGCCTTCAGCACCCAGATGGTGGGGCACCCTGAGGCCTTCCCTGCAGGACACTCCTGCCAGCCTGATGGGAGAGTCCCTCTCGCTGCTCCGACCAGACACCCCGCTGGGGTGTCACTATCTGTGGAACTCAATCCTTGCACTGACTTTGTGGGCTGAGGCCAAAGCTAGGCCTGGCCAGACGATCTGGATCTCAGCAGGACGCCAACGGTATACTAACGCACCAGGAACAGACTGGAAGCTCAACTTCATTTCCTGTGCCTTTTCACTACATTGTAAATGTCCCATTTAATCTCTTGAGCAGGTCCAGGGTTTTAGTTTGTACCATGACTACCATTTGGGGGTATCTGCTCTTCTGGTTATCTAATGCACATGATAAGCCACCCCAAAATGTAGAGGCTTCAGACAACACACGCATTTATTCTGCTCATGCACCTGTCATTCAGGTGGGGCTCAGTGAGGACGGCTTGTCTCTGTCCCACTTGGCGTCAACTGGGGCAGCTGGAAGGCTGGGCTGGGGCTCATCTGAAGACTTGGTCACCTGTGTGTCTGGCACTGGTGGAACCTCAGTTCCCCCAAGGAACAGTTGACTGGGGAGTGGTGGCTGGGTGGAAGAATGATCCCCTCAAAAGAGAGACAGAGACAGAGAGGAGAGAAAAGGAGTGAGAAAGAGAGACCATGAGAGAGGGCTGTGTCCTTTTGATAACTGAGCCTTGGGAGTCACACTGTCCCTTCTGTATTCCATTGGCCAGTGTGACAGGGCTGGCCCCTCCTACCACCCCCCCTCCACACGGCAGGTTCCATCTTGGTCCAACTCCCATCTTTTCTGAAAGGATCTTCTCTGTGGTTTCCTGAGATTCAGTGGGAAATGCCTCACTTGGGGATCAGAAAGGTCAAGCCACCAGGCACCGTACCAAGGGGAACATTTTCCTCCACCTCCAACCTGTACCCATGCTGGCGTTCCGCCTTGGCGCAGTGAGCCCAGTGGAGCTTGGGGGGCCTTCTACCCAGGAGCTACACACAGGACTCTTGTTTTTCACTTGGCCCGGCTGCCCCAGTGAGACAGCCTGCCAGTGCCAGGTGGTGATGGGAATGGCCTGTCCAACTCAGCTTGCAGCCCCAAGGCCCATGGGCTCAGCCCGGTCCCCAGGCTCTGCTGCTCTTCTCGGTAAGTGGGTTGGGGGCAGGAGGCTGAGGATCCAGGCAGCTGGCTTGGCGACCCCTGCAGAGGCAGGAATCTTCTGCCGCGCCCCTGCTGCCTGGCAGCAGGTTGTGTCACTGCGTTCGGGCTGCAACTGCTCAGGCATCGTCCCTCAGTGTCCCTGCATCTGTGGCCTCAACAGAGTCCATGGGACTCCTATTTGTGCAGCCACAGGAGCAAGCCCTCACCATATGACCCGCTGCCTTTGGTCTGTTTGGGGATGACAAAATGGGGTGGAGGGCTATAGTTATTCACAGTAAGGATTTAAGATGGTAGCTCCCGTTTCTGTGATGAGCTGATAATGTGTAGTGCACTAACCACAGTGCCATGGAGATACTAACTCAATAAATGCTGGTCATTATGATGACTACATGCCAGGCCCATGCTGAGCCTCCTCTGCTCTAGAGGTTTGAGGGGCTTGGGGTCCACAGCAGACCCTGGAGCTGGTCACCTGGCTCAGTGCCCATTCACCTTGTCCTATGCAAACCACTTCTCTGTGCCTCAGTCTCCACACTTGTGAAATGGGAACAATCGCAGCACCCTCTTTGCAGAGTTCTGTGAAAACTCGCTCCACCAGTGCTTGAGGAAAGACCCTGCACCAAGTGTTGTCATGGTCACACACGTGCACATGGCTCGCTCTGGCCTCTACCTGGAACCTTCTTCCCAGCTCTTCTCATGGCCAACTTTGTTGCCTTCGGGCCCAAGTTTAAAGGCCAGCTCCTGAGGAAGGGCTGCCCACCACTCTGTCCCGCAAACGACCCGCCCCCAGGTCACCGTTTTATTTTCCACACGCATTCATGCATCGTCATCCTAGGATGTGAGCTTTGGGGAGGGGGACAGGAAGTGTGTCTGTTTTGTTCACCACTGTGCCCTCTGCACCCAGCAAGAGTCTGGGCATAGTAGGTGCTCAATAAATGTGAACAAAGCCTTGCCGTAACTTTGCTTTATTTATTCTACAAACACATAGAGTCTGCAGTGGCAAATTAGAGGTTCCTGCCCTGAGGTCTTGCATTTTAGAAAATGTAAAAGAACTCTGGACTGCCAGGTGTGGCTGGGCAGTCAGTGCACTGCATAAAGCCACCTGGGGTGGGGGGAATAGGGGGTGTAAACCAGCCTGGGCTCTGCTTATGAAGCTGGGAGGCCTGGGTCCTTATCAGCCCAGAAGGGCACCTTTCTGTAATTACCACAGAGTCATCCTAAGAGGTGGGTGAATTACTGTCCCCAAGTCACAGATATGACATTTGCAGGTCACACCTCCCCAGAGGAAGGCATCAAGATGTCCACTTGACTTCTGACCTCTCTGGAGCCCCTGTCTGTGGAGGCAGGCACAGGCTTGGGCAAGGAGGCTGGAACTGCCCAAGCCCCATTTGCTGCAACCACATCCACGCCCCCCAGGCCTCCCCCAGACACCCTCCTCCACCTGAGGCTCACCTTTGCCCCTGGCCTCTAGCAGTCTTTCTGTACTTCCTTGGGCTCTCAGGACAACCCCATCTCTCCTCCTGCGGCACCTGCACCCTCCCACCCCCAGCCTCCTCCTCTCTGGGGCAAGGATCATCTTCATACCTGAAGGGGTTCTGAAACCCTGTGGTGCTCTGCAAACACAGAATGACTGCTGTTTCCATTAAACTGCATGCTGGCCCAATTTCACTTTCATTGGCCCCTCCCTCCCTCTGCCAATGCAGGCCTACCACGTGGTCGGCCAGGGACACACTTGCAGTCTAAGGAGTCAGGCCTGACTTCTAGCTGTGCCAGCAGGCCTTTCCTACCACACCCGCAAGGCCACCCCTGGCATGGAGGCCAGGAGGCCAGCCCAGCAGGGCAGACCCTCCAAGCCCCGCCCAATCTCCAGCAGAGGCCCTGATTCTTCAGCTCTTTGTCTCTTTCCTAAATTTCAAAGAACAAAAGGCAGGTCCCAGGGCCAGAGTTGCATACATTTTTAATCGAAAGATGTCAGCCTCCTAAGTATTGCTTTGACAGGTTTGTCGCACACCACTCACGCTTTCAGAACAGTATTTCTGGCCAGGCGTGACATAGTGCGCCCAGCTGAGAGACGGTGCTGCCAACTTGCTGAAGAATAAGCAACCAGAATGAAGACGTCAAAACCCTGCCCTCAGCCCCAACAGCGTCCTCGGCTTCTTTTTCTTGAGTCACCCCTGAACAGTGGCTGCGTCTAAGACCAGCCTTGGACCACCCTCAGCTGGACTTAAGGCTCAACTGGGACCGGAGCCAGGGCGTAGTGTGTCCTGGGCTGGAAACGCCCCCTCTGGGGTGAAGTGGGGAAGCAGGTGCAGTCGGGGAGAGTGCAGGGAGGCAGACTCTGGCTGGGTTCTGGGCAACATCCATCCCAGCTGCCAAGTCAGAGGCCAAAGCCAGGCTGTCGCGTGATGCTGCAGGCGGGTGAGACACTCGGACGTCCCCTCCCTTCCCGCCTCTGTGGGGGAACAGCAGTCCCAACCTCAGCACTCAGTCCTGACATCTCTTCGGCCCTCCTGGGTCTGGACCGGAAACTCTCTGCTGGCACGACGCTTTTGGGGGGAGCAGGCCTAATAAGAAGGAAAGAGTGTTAGCAGCATGGGAGCCCTACCCCACCTCCACCAGTTTGGGATAGAAGGAAGGATGCGGACTGAACCACCAGGCCTAGCAGTCGGGGGGCAGGGGCATCTTCCTCCATATCTCAAATTCAGGGAACCACTGGAAACTCTGGACTCAGGCTGGGAATGTTTTTCTACGGTGCTTATTAAAAACTCTTTTTAATGAATCTGTCTAATTCCTAAGAGACCCTGGGCTGGAGAACCGATGCAATTTCACACAGGCCGGGGGGGGGGGCTGTTGCACAGGGGTCACCAGGGGTCAGAAGGACCTGCTGGCTGGCTCATAGCTCTAGGCAGCAAGTGGGGCCTGGCAGTACCTCCCAGCATGCCCAGAAGATGCTCTGTGTTTCAGTATTTACAGGAAGGCTCTGGCCACAGCCGCGCTCCTCAGCAGTCCTGCTCAGCTTCCCCAGGCACACGGCCCCTCCATGGCTGGCCCCTGGCTGGCGTTTCCATTCCCTTCTCGCTGTGTCCAGCTGGGTGCCAGTGTCTCTGCGGCACTCATATTCCCTTGTCCACCCTCCTGCAGTCCTCTGAGTCCTTCCTGGTTCTGAGCCTCACCTTTGCCAGCTCAGGAGAGTCCTTCGGCCAACTCTACTGCGTATCAAGTAGAGCTTGCGTGTAGCTGCTCAACCGGGCGCTACTGACATCGGGGATGGGACCCTTCTTGGGTGTGGGGGTTGTCCCGGGCACAGCATGTTGACAGCCCTCTGGCCCTGGGCCACTAAGTGCCAGTGGCACTCCCAGCCACCGTGACAACTAAAAATGCTCCCTACCCCATTTCCAAAGACGACCTGTGGGCATAGAACTGCTTCCACTGAGACCCATGCATCTCCCCATTCTACAGGTTGAGAAACTGAGGTTCAGAGAAGCCAAGTGACCTGCCTAAAGTCACACAGCCGTGAGAGGCAAAGCTGGCAGATCAGTCACGGTGGGAACAAGCCATCAGAACAGCCACCTCCTGGGCTCCCACCACGTGCATGACCCACACTGGAGGCTGTGGGAGCCCCACCCCATTCCCTCCCAGGTATGCCAGCCTTCTACCCACAGAGCCCACAGGGCCCCGGCTGGGTGTGCAGGTGGAGCTAACGTCTCCCCATGGATGCCCTGGCCAGGTTGCTCGACACGACCAGCGTCCAGGGACCTGGAGCAGAGCGCTGTGCTCAGATTCATCCACATGGTGCCCACAGTGGAACTCTCCAAGCCCAGGTCAGCCCGGAACTCATCTCACGGGGACCACCTGGTGAGGCCCTCACTTCCTCCCAGTCCCTGTGCTACAGATGGCACCAGGCAGTCCCAGACAGGTACTGGTGGCTGGAGCAGCTGCCCATGTGTGGAGTTGTGCAGGTTCCAGGGGAGTTCACTGACACTCCTCTGCTTTCACGGTGGCTATCTGTAGGGTCACCTTCTATTTATAGCAGGCAATGCCAGGTTTCCATTTCTGGAGTGATATAAAGTTTCTCTCTTTCCCAAACATTTTTTTTTTGAGTTGGAGTCTCATTCTGTCGCCCAGACTGGAGTACAGTGGCCACTCCCGGCCACTGCAGTCTCGACCTGCCGGGCTCCAGCAATCCTTCCGCCTCAGTCTTCCAAGTAGCCGGAACTACAGGTGAGGGCTACCACACCTGGCTAATTTTTGATTTATTGTAGAGATGAGATCTTGCCAAGTTGTCCAGGCAGGTCTCGAACCCATGGGCTCAGGCAATCCACTCACCTCAACCTCCCAAGGCGTGGGATTA